AGTCAAAGTTTCAAAGGGGAGAAACAGGAGTGTACCGGAAGACGCCGACAAGAGTGACACTTTTGGATTCCATCAGTTTGCCTCCCGCGTAGAACACACCGGCCACCTGGAAGCATCCAAGGGAGTTTGACAGTCCACTGAAAACTGCATATGTTGTGGAGCTGAGGAGAATTTTTCTAGAATAATGGGATGTAGAAAACAAAATGTTAGACTAGGCATTGGGGGAGGGGAAGGGGAGAGAAGAGGAATCGGCGTTTGAAGACCCACTTGGTGGAGGGGAGAGCTTCAAGCTTGTATCGCTGAACAAAGTGAGCCTCCGCACCCAGACTAAAGATGGTCTTGGCAGCCGAGAGACTCTCAAAAGCGAGTCCAGCTCCCTTGACATTCGCCTTGGATCCGTCATTCGTGTACTGCGTCATCTGAAATTATGAAATGACAAGTCATTCATCATCAATGAAAGTAATAAAGAAAGTAGGAAAAATCGGATAGTCTATGAAGTAACTCCAACCCTGTCGAGGAGGGTGGATAACCTCTCACTGTCTGAAAGTCAGTTAGTAAAAAACGATTCTTTCTTTGTACTTGTCATGGGAAGACGAATGTAAAGACTAGCACCCTTCACAAGTTCTGACTTGAACCCGCCAAAATAGCAGTGCTGACCGCAATGCTCATCAGAGAATTCGACGACTTTCAACAAGAAGGTCTTTTTGTGGTTTGGAGCTTACATTGAAGGCGCCCACAACAATGAGAACAGGAAAGTACGCCAAGGCCACAAGAGCAATTTGCCAACTATAAACGAAGGCGATGATAAGAGAGATGATGATCAGTGTAAGAACTTCCAACAACGAGGCCAAACGACGTCCTGAGATGTTCTGAAGTGTTGGCACGTCAGCGGCAAGACAGCCGGTGAGAGCACCTGACTGATTGTCAGGCGAGTCAAACCATCCAACCTCCTAGGGAGGAGGGGAGAGGAAGGGGATAAAAAATAGCCATCATAAGGTGATGTCGAGGAAAGTTTGTCTTGCCTGATTTAGAATTGCCCCAAAGAGGGTGACTCGACATCGCTTGGTTAGACGAGCACCTGCCACACCCCACAGATAACCCTACAAGTAGCAAGATAACGAAATTCAGCAAATGATCGGAAATTGTTTGCGTAGCATCCAAGTTCATAATCCAGAGCACCTCAAACCACTCCCTTGTGATCCTCAACGTCAGTGTTGAAAACCGATTCACTTACTCACGTTAGATGCTTTAAAAAGGGGAATTAAAGTGTCTCACCCCTCCAAGGAGGCAAAGGAATCTGATGATGCCCATGGCAGCGAGAATGCCAGAGAGAACAGAGGTTCGTCGAAGTTTCTCCGCCTTATTCAGTAAGGGAAATATCTGAACGAAAAAGGGGAAGCTTTGTTCACTTACACCTACTGTCCACTGTTGACAAGTAAGTCAATCCTTGCAACTTACATCGTAGATCTCCGTGATGAGAACAGCAAAGCTCGCCTGCACTCCACCGGAGATGAGGGCGAGGATCAGACCCACTACCATGTAAGGCATTTCAGGTGCATTCATTCGCAAGATTTCGGAGGAGACTTTCACCTTCTCTTCATTTGCCTTGGAAAAAAAAA